AACCTCAAAGTGAATCGGTCAATGTCGTTCTCTAGTTGAACAAATGAATGTCCAGTGGAATGAGACCTGAACTTACTGTAGTATAGACGAGGAACAAGGGGGCCGGTTTGGATATTCAAAACTCGAGGTTGACTTTCAGTGCAGCCGGTTACTTGGGTAACAAATGCATCATTTCTCAAATGGCTGGTGCTTTCCACATCAGTCAACTCCGGTACATGGCCGGCTTGTGGAACCAAATTAGTTCTACAAACTGGACAGGTAACATGAGAGTCGAGCCATGCGCCGATGCATTCCTGGTGGAAGACATGATTACATTTGTGTATCAAACACAAGGTCTGTTCGTCTTCAAACTTGTTGCGGGTCCGTGTCAGACCCTTCACCTCGACGCCACGTGTCAGCAGAGGTGGCCCCACCGTGACACGCGTCAACCGAGGTGATTACCCCATGGGACGATCTGAGTGCGCACACCGAAGTGATTACGTGAAGGACGAATTGAATAGGCGCCAGCGAACGAACCGAACTCATCTGCCAACATATCGTGGATGCAAAAGCCCACACTCCGCTTCTAAAACGCTGCAACGCCTCACCTGCCTCGCCTCATCAAAGATCTCTTGTACAAAGATCTTTCCAAAGTCAAATCACTGACTAATGGGACGCGTGACAGGATTCAAACGGTCAAATCAGCTGCTCTTGCTAAAAACATTCAATGCCAGCCAACCTATGGAGGGACAGATTGATACCTAGGATGAGACGAACTCTGGAGATCTAGCAACATGTGTCTCCTAATCCAACGGCTCTCCCCTCCCCATCATTGGTATAAATACTTCCTCCTTGTGCCTGAAGAAGGGGGGATTTGGAGACACGACTATACCTAAACTTGAGTATTATCTTCTCCCCCATGTTGTTGGCACTTTTACTATTACACATTCAACCACTTCCCGACGAGTGTTCTACTGCCGGCGAGCCCCTTTTGGTTGAACTTCAAACCGACTTGACCGTCGAAGTGCTTACGGCCACTCCCAACCTCTCCGGGAAAGGCCACGAGTGACTGACAAAGTGCTACGTGTGCAAGGAGGAGCTGACTTGAAGGCATCTTCTGTTGGCCACATGTCGGAGCCATTTTTCGAGGTCAACAAAACTCATTCAAATACACAGCACACTCCAAGGATTCTTTTCCAATCTCGCGTTTTTTCACTTTAGAATACGAGAAAGTCAGGAAAGATTCTATGACCGAAGGGTCCAGCAAACTGCAGCGACAGCACTGTGGGAGTGCATGGACCGATTGAAGCAGTACCGGATGTAGATGGAGACTAGACCAATGAAGAAGAGTGCTCCTATGGTGACGACTATGATAATGGCCATGGACAAGCTGAACCTTGTATGCGGGTACTCGTTGATGATTCCCGGGTCGGATTCTGATGGATCAGACTGAGCTCCAACCATTGTGATTTCTGAAGACTGTGCGAGTATGAGAAGAGAAAGAAAAACATTACATGCTAAGTGTAATTCTTTAACATTGCATTGTACTCTCCCTCTTCCAAAGGGTTAGTATACTGCGTGATGTTTAAGGGGAAAAAAAGCAATTATTTTGTAATTCTGATTTTTTGCTTGATTTGGTAATTTGGAACTTTCCTCTAAAATTTCTGATTGCTTGTGCTAACGTGTAGGTTGCCACCTTCTTAAATTAGCAAATTATGCTTACATTCTTGAAATTAAGTAAATTATGCTTACAAAATTAAGTACTGCAAAATTTTCATAAATAATTAAATAACAAGTGTACGTGGTATTACGTGTCAAATGTGACAGGTTAGGTTAAATAAACATCATTTATCCATTAATCAATTATCTACTCATACATCAATAACCGATAGTAAGATGAGCCATAACATCATGCATACCTGACTCTCTTTAATTCTCTCTCGAGAAACATGGAATTTTTCAAGTCCCGTTTGAGTAATGCTATTTAAGACAATGACGTTAAAACATTAAGGTGACATTGAAGTAAAAATACAATTAAATAAGTCACTTAATTATTTTAATGAACATATCACATAGCACCAACTAGAATGTTGTTATAGCATCAGTGATGCTATACATCATTATTCTTTTATAAAATCGTTTCTTCCAATTAGAAGAGTTATTAAAGAGAGCTGACACAATGTAAATCTCTAAAAACTCTTCTGATGGGGTAAGTTCTTTTAAAAATTAGTTTCCAAACACTAATTAAAATAATTTCTCCATTAAGCTCTACAAGAAGCAGAAGCAAAAACAAAAGTCCTACCAAACGACATTCATCTGGCTATTGTAGAAGAAGAAAATAACACGCTTCAACCATTGTGTGACTTCAAATTAGAAAGAGCAAAAAGAGATGTCTAATTTTCAGTGTCACCAATATACTACTTAAGAAGTCACGAAAGTGAATTGATATGAATGTTGGAAATATGTAGGAGCTCTTCTTTCTCTGCTTTACGTTTGCATGCAGGACTGAGCTTCAGTGCCGGGGGGTGTCACACCCCCCTTGACAGAATACACACATTTGGGGGGGAGGGAGCTTTTTTTTCATTTTTTATTTCAGCCGGGCCCCACGTCGGTCCCACCGGCTTGTGAGGGTCGGCCACCCAGGTGGGTGACCCTTTTCTGGCAGAGAAACTTTTTCCTTGCATAAAAGCTGTTTAGAGGTATAATAAAGATGGAACTAAAATGAACAGCACAAGTTTCTAGGTGATATTTAGCGGTGACAACCTCCTGGACAATGGATAGAGTAAATTCATATTCATTCAATCTTGGGCACTGATTGATTGATATTTCTTTTCCATGGAAGATGGAAATTAAAATCAATTTACACATTTTTACATGTTTGATTGATTAAATTTTCCATGGAATTGATTTTTCACATTTTCTTGATTTTTGAGGAAAATCTCTTCATGTGGATTTGGTGGGAAAAGTTTTTCT